ATCGGACATAAAAAATTGGTATCGTGCCATCTCTAGTATGGTGTCACACACCCATCCTACGCTTCCTAGTACTGTGCTTACAAGCATAAAATAAGCACCACATAATGATCCAGCGGCACAAAGTCCTTGACTACACTGACAGACCCGACAGCCAAGCAGTCACTCCCATTTCAGCTCTTTGAAGTGGTGCACTGCAACGCAAATTCAGGCTTGTGGATGTCACTCAGACACGAGCAGACAAAGTATAATCAAGGCCCAACCCCCCAATTACTGGCTGTCAAAAACACCTCAAACAGCTCGACCACTTAAAGGTATGATCTGGTGCTGCAGTTGTACTTTCAAAGATCATGGCTGCTGAAACTGCTAGCATCCAAGATGGTGCAGCTGGGAGTTTGTCCAACCACAGGAACAGAGGTTCATGAGAGCTGACCAACTACAAGGGCTGCAACAGCAGCGAACAGACTGCTCTAAAGTTGGAGCACATTAAAAGAACAGGGATAGCAGAGGCTCAGCCTTCAAAATAAGAGCATGAAAAATATCAGTTAATTTTGACTTTAGTCTTGTTTAGTCGGCTTGTGGGAAACTCAAAAGTCCGCAATTAAAACTTTTAATACCAATGAAATTTTATTTTTAGATTAAGAAATTCAGAAACTTTTAAAACATCTACAGTACATTATGTACTTCGTCTGCTGCATAGTGCCTTGCTTTGGGGGAAAAAAAAGTTTGTTATCTTGAAAACAAACGAAGGGAACTGCAATCAACAGCTGGCAACCTCTGCCTCAAACCGTTCCAACCAGCTAAGCCCAGTTTGAACTTATCCCCTTATCAGGATCCAGTTATTGCTCACCTTCTTGATCTCCTCTTCGAAACCCTTCTCCAGGTACTTGTAACGCCTGATCAGCTTGTTAAAAACCTGTTTATGAGTCAAAGAGAAGAAACGGCCTGTGAGCATTACCTGCTTGTCACGCGTGCTTCATTTTTAAAACGCATTCATTAACAGGGACCGACCTGAGCATATGCTTGCATTGTCTCCAGGTCTTCTTGTGCCGTGAAGAGGCAGTACTCTGTGCGGGTCATGTCATCAGAGAGAGTCCCTCCTGGGGCTGCAGACACACATAAAAAGGTAAATATATACATGTATTACACACATTTCTGCACACGAGTGACGACAAAACATGTCGCAACTCACCCAGCATCCCGCCAGCCACCAGGATGTCAAAGAGTGTCTCTGCATAGCGGCGGTAGTCAAGCTTGGCGCCAGAGGCATCGAGGAACTTTGCGACCGCTTCCAAATCAGTGCCAGTTTGATTCAAGCCTTGTACGATACTTTCTTGAAACTGAGTAGGGTCAAATCTCTCCTTTTCATCTGTGAGAAGACAACGACACACAAACGTTGATTCAGAAATGAAAGCAGAGTGTGGAACAGCAGGGCTGGGGATCAGTGGATCCAGGAATCAGCACTCACCTCTTTTCCTCGTTTTGAAACGCTGGCCTGTTAGCGTTGGCTTTTGCTGCTTTTGATTATTCATAAAAGACACCCTGAAAGAGACGAGAACACACAGAGTTAATGTTTAGCTGCACAGGCAACTCTTCAACGGGCCCTGTAATTATGTTTTCTCCTCCCAGCACCTGGGCGTAAGCCGGGTTATCCACACGTCCTGTAACAATGGGCTGTGTAGAATGACTTTAGAGTCTGCTGGTAATTCAAAAAGCTGGTGGCACCGACCGGAGATGAAAAGTTTATTGTAAGAACTTAGTTTCAGTTTGTTTTCAATCAGTTTACTCTCTGGGAGTTTCCGGAGTTGGCTTATTCTTTTCAGTTTAGTTTTAACTTAAAACCTGTTCAGTTTCAGTCAGGCTTTTATTTCTCTCACTTTAAAGAGGATAAATTTCAAAAGTAATCATGAATATTTGAAGGACGCTGCGAGTCATACAGGAAGGCTCATGGAGTTAAATTATTATCAAAATGGTATTTTTGGAAATGCATTAGTTCCTATTTAACTAAAACACATTCCCCCTTTCATTTTAACAGGGTGTAAAAACCCTTAAAAGGTACAAACAATGAAAAGGCCCGACTCTTTGCCCGCGATGAGGTTCATTGTGAAAGTAACCAAAGTGTTATCACAGGACGAAATGTTCCCTTGCTATAGCAGTCAAAACAAAAAAAGTGCACACTCAGCAAAAAAAGAAAAACAAACCTAGTAGTGAAGCAACAATTTCTTCATTTTAATTTACTTAAATGTTTTTAAAGTCTGAGTTCTTCAGCAACAAACCACAAAGGTCAGAAATCATGCTTGTTAACCATGTCTTATTTCCAGACAATGATAAAAGTAACCACATTTTTCCTTTAATTCATGGATCTGTGTTGAAAAAGCAACACGCTGATAACAGTAACGATGAATAACACCCAGTTTTCATCTTTTTTTGAGCCACAAGCACACAGTAGCCTTTACACACTAATAACCCACTGGTTTAGAATAATAATAATAATTCTGGGACATTTCAGCCAGCAGCATCTGTACATCCCTGAGAGAAACTGCAGTACTACACTGGCTGAAATGTTCCTTCACTGTGTGGGAATCAGTCAAACTGAGTTGATAGAGATAAGTAGAAAAAGAGTGCAAATTAGGGAAGGGAAAAAAAGACCAGCTTCCAAGACTTCAGCTCAACATTTAGTCCCATCAGCTGACAAAACAGGGCAGTAAATGTCATCTTATTAACAGATAACAGCCAAGGGGCTGATATTTCTTGACGCTTTTCCCTTTCATGTCCAATTTCCCCCCTCCATTTCTACCAAAGAGTGTATACATGTTTGAGTATTTAAACCCATGACACCCCTTTTCTTTGCAGTGATGGCTTCATTTCCCTCCTAAATCCCAAACTCTCTTCTATCCAGGCTCAGGGTCCGTCAACAGCTGGATTAATGTCAAGGAAACTCACTGTGTAAGTTATTTTGCTCTAACTGAGACGTTCACGTGCCTCTTAAGATTAAACCAAGTAACGTGTATATCTGTAACCACTGCCTTCACAAACACAGAGAGGACGTTAGAAAGTATTTAACTCTAAGAGATGCGCATTTATCAGTTTTAAACGGCAGTGTAGTTAACCACTATGCGCGAGCATGCAGTCGTTTAGTTTTAGCTGTTCTGACTTCATTTATCTTACTCCAAGGAAAGCCTCCTTAACCTCCTTAAAAACAGCCTGACATAATACAGATTTAGTTCAAAGTAAATTAAATCCAGCACGGCTGCTTTTCCTCCCCCCGGGCTTTGACTAGCTACTCACACAAAGGTGAAGGAGTACTCGGCAGACAAAAGACAATCTGCGGGGCTATAAAGGTGGATGCTGGGAGGTGGAAATAATCAGATGTATCAGCACGACACTGCTTAATTCAATCACAGTACACAGGTGTGACCTCAACGCGAGCACGTTCCACGGATATTTCCCACGGATAGCTTTCCGCTCGCGAGCAATGAGGGATTTTTTGAGCAGCTGGCTAACTGTGGATTAGCACAGGCTAACTCGAGGCCTCGCCATGCGCCGAGCAAGGTAGCCGGGCCCGCTAGCACGCTAACCACGTTTGATTACCGTTCAGCCTCGGCTCACGCACGCAAGAAAATTCACCGCATCAGCACCTCATCGACTATAAAACACAACCACCTGTCGAGCTGTCATGAAAAAAACCCCCCCCATCCATAACAACAACAAAGCAGAGCCGCAATCTGCTCTGTAATGGAGCTAATGCTAAGTTAAAATTCGCCCTCCGGCGGCGCCCATGATGGCAACATTCCCAGGCCGAACAAAACCCAAAAAGCAAAGTTTCCTGCCTTCAAACAGGCCACATCAGTACACGCAAGGAGAGGGCGGCGTGGGAACCGAGGCGAGGAGCCGGAAAATGAGAGTACTCACCGAAATTAATGCAGATAAAAAACGGTTGTGAAGCCGAGGAATGGAAGCAAAGTGTCGAGTATCTGAGCGGCCCAAACAAAAAGACCTTCCCGTCAGGACTTCCGCAGGCTCCGCCCGCTGCGCATGCGCTTTTTAAAGGGGATTTCCTTTGAACAAAAACGTTTAATTTACTGATACAGAAAGCTTTTTCTTTGTTTGTTTGTTTTGAAATACATTACAGTATATTTATGTAGCTAACCCTTGCGTGGTCTTCCTGTTTTTGTTACTCAGCCAGTGTTAAGTTATTGTGTTATTAAATCAGTGCATCAATAACAATGTATGTAAAAATACATAACAGATGTTTACCACATATATGGTTCATATTTCAAATATGAAATGCTGCTTATTTTTTGTGATAAAATGTAACTGAATAACAGATGTGAGTGAAAAAAAACATGTTTATCTTGAAAAAATATAAATGAACTTGATTAGGAGCAGATTTATGTCAGTTTATACAACATAAACAGTCTGGATATGCATTTCTTGCACTTTATCCCTGTATAGCAGAGATGTCAAACATAAGACCTAAGGGCCAAAATCGGCCCATCAGACTCCAATTTGGGACCTAATTAACAGCACTGGAAAACATGAACGAAGGTGTAAAGTTTTATGTTTCATAAGCTTTATGTTTACTGATAACGATCTCCCACATGGCCATTCATGCTATGCCGAAATAATTAGATAATAGATTAAAAAACCTAACTGGTAGAAAGTTCCAATTTTTTCACTTACTACACATAGGGTAAAATGTGCCGGGATGCTGGAGCACAAACGAACAGCAGGCCACGCAGGGAGAGGACAGAGTGAAGGGAAAAAGTACCTCCATACCTTTATGGCATGAACACCACCTGTGTGATATAAATGCATAAGGCTTGAAGTCTCTGAAAATGTGTTAGTCGATTTGTTTTTCATGGAAAATCACCCAAAGGGAAGTATTCTGTGGCTAAAATAAAAAAAGAAACTAATTTCCTTTTGGTAAACAGTGAAAATAGCTCACAGACCCAAACACACTACATATAGGTTCATTTATTAATTTATCATATACATATATGCACACAATAAACATATGATTGATATTTGCAGGTGAAATTACATTCCCTTTCATGTTCCCTACATATTCTAACATTTTTCCCTTTATCAGTGTCCGATCGCACCAAAACCTTGATTTTTATTTTTTACTTTTGCACTGGTGTGTTTCTGATCATTGTCCTGCTGCAGAACTCAAGTGCTCTTGATCTTTAGGGCATGAACTAATGCTCAGACATTCTCATTCAGGATTTTCTAGTAGAGAGCAGAATTCATGGTTCCATCAATTACAGCAACTCATCCTGAAGCAGCAGAGCAGCCCCAGACCATCACACTGTTGCTGTGAAGCTGTTTTATGTCTGATGTAATGGGACTCAAACCTTCCAGAAAAGTTCAGCTTTTGCCTAGTCAGTCCACGGGATGTTTTCCCAAAGGTCTTGGGAATCATGAAGATGTGTTTTGGGTACAGGGTGAAACGAGCCTTTGTGTTGCCAATTCAGCCATATTTGAGCCTTTTTAACATAATTATCAAAGAAATAATCCAACTTGCTGTGAGGCAAACACCATCACTCAGTGTTGGTGAATGAAATTCAATTACTGTACAAGTAATACTGTACAGCTTATGGATGCAACTTACCAACTAGCTAGCTAACTGCTGAATAAAGTATCACCCAAATGCAGTGTTTTCTAGTGCAGAAAAACAAACAAAACACAGGATGGCAGCAAACAAAAAGCGTCAAAATGCAGAATTCAGCAATCACCCGAGGATAGTGCAGTTGCTACTTCCAGCTTTGATGAATGTTGTGCTTCACTAATTTCTCACACTGTGCCAGGTAAACTTTAGTAATATAACATGACTTCAGTTTGTTATTTGCCTGATATACAGAAATATTTTAGTTATAGGCAAATATGGCAGAATTTAAGAAAGAAAAGAGAAAAAAAGTATTTGTATTTATGATAGGTTTACGATGGTTGTGTGGAAGAGCAGAGCAGCAGCTGCTCAAATATACAGAACCACCACACCACAGTCAAAGCCACTTATATCACATTTTTTCTCCATTCTGATGCTCTGTTTGGAGTCCAGCAGGTCGTCTTGACCACATCTACGTCCCTAAACATGCAGAGTTGCTGCCATGTGAGTGGCTGATTAGGCATTTCTTTTAATGAGCAGCACAACAGCTGTAGCCAGTGAAGATCATCCTTGTGGTGTGATCATCCTCATGTACCAGTCAGCATGGCCTTAGTCTCTAAAGTGACTTTGAGTTCATCCTTAGTTTTACAGAGACAAAAGGTGGATTTTCTTTGCTTTATTAAACATAATTTATGTTTTCCCTTCTAAATCAAGCATTCAAGCACAAAACAAATCAATGCCTTCAGACAAAACCAAAGATCAAGTGGACGATCGTCTCACATTTAGGGAAGCCCGTTTCAGCCACTTAAAAAAAAAAAAAAAAAAAAAAGATCCATAACTCAAAATTCCGATTTATTAACTCAATATTCTGAGAAAAGCAACTCGAAATTTCGAGTTAGCGCTGCCAATCAGTAATCTACGTGAATGACGTCATTTCCATGTTACCCGGAAGCTGAAGCCCTCAGCTACAAATGCTACAGCTAAGCTACCGGTATTACATCCAATCGTGAATGCACAGATTGCTGAGTGTTTTCAGCCTGGCTTCACAAATGATGAAATCCCTGTGTTATTAGCACCATGTGATAGTACACATGGTGTTACTATCAGCAAACGTATTCGCAAAAGCGCCAATTTGTTGGGATCCGTTTTTGAGTGCGCATTCCTCTGCGCGATATGCTTCCGGGTAACAAGAAAGCGACCTCATTCACGTATTTTTTTGATTGGCAGAGCATTTCCCATAACACAGAATAAATCTAATTCAATCACAATGTTGATTCTTTGTGTTTAAAATTAATAAAAATGAGGAACACGTCTGCAGGCTGAAACCCACTCAAGTGGCCACAATTCTGGTTACATTTGGTAACAGAATAACTAAAAAAAAGATATTTATAAAAGATTAAAAACTAACTGCACTGTGCATGTGGTGGACCACCACAAAAAAAGAAAAAGAAGAGAAATGATCATCGGACTCTGTGACAGATTCTGTGCAAGTGAAACATGCAGTCTTAAATCAAAGGAAATTTGACTGCACAACAGCGTTAACCGTGTGTATTTGACTCAGTGGGTAGGTGTGACGTGTGCATCGCAGTGATTTGTGTTTAGCTTCTGAAATCTTAAATTCAATGATACAATAAAATCTGTAAAGGTGTTAAACACTGAAGTGAATTAAAAGCACCTTTGCCCCGCGGCTGGTATTTTTTGCTACTCTAAGTGAATTTCACCTGATATTAGCTAAAAATGATTAGTTTAAAATCTTTAGTTTGATTCAGTCTCAGATGTCCAAGGCCCACGGCTTGAAAGACTCTGGTTTGCTGGCTGGAACCTGGAAACAAAAAGAATAGGAATTAATGTATAAAGTTTTGGTCTTCAAAACCGTTCTGCACACCATCATCATTCCCACAGGTATGAGCTTCCTGCCATCACTCACAGTGGCCTCTCATTAATATGAGCAGAATGTGCTTAAAGTTTATGTGACAGCTGAACTCCTCGACCTTTCCTGTCTGTAAGCATAAATTTACAGTTACAGGACCTGAAGTTTACAAACTGTCCCGTTTAGGCGAACTCCAGATTGTGTAGCTGACATGTGTAGTTACCTTCTGAGTGAATGGGGAGGCAGAGGCTAAGCAGGCCCTCTCTGGTGTTGCAGGGGAGTTTAGAGAAAAGGGTCCCTTCAAACCAGAATCGGAGCGAGCAGCAGCGACGGCGTCTTTGATGGCGAAGAACACCGAACTGCCCAAGAAGAGGGTGGGTTCTCCAATACCCTGCACAGGAGACGAACATCAGCAACGCACCAAGTACAATAGAAAACTAAAAGACTGAGGTGTTTGGAAGTAATCTTCCTCCTTGTGTCTGACCTTTGAAGAGTAGATGGCGTAGGGGTTGTCAGAGTCGGGCAGCAGGTAGACGTTAAACTGCAGCGGCACATCGCAGACCGCCGGGATCTTGTACTGAGACGGTCCTCGAGTGTACAGCAGCCCGAAGGGAGAAAACTTCAGCTCCTCCAGAGTGTAGAGACCCAAACCCTGCATGAACGCTCCCTCAATCTGAGAGAAGGGAAGAAATCAAGGAGAGAGACGTTAATTACTACTCTGCTAAAAGTTGTTTTTTTACTTAACTAAATTCAGCTGTTCAGGTTTTAAAACACTGGGTGAAATGGGTGCAGCCACTTACTGAACCGTGCAAACGGGCTTGAGTATACATATCGACTGGGGGGGTTTGAACAGTTCTAACAAACCTGAAGGTCAGCTCAGGTAACTTTTGGCTCTGGACCTCTGGTTCCCCCTTTTTAAATGATTAAAATTGCCATGGTTTGGTTGCAGTCAGCCCTCCGCGAACCTGGTTCTGCCAGAGTTTTCTCCCTGTTAAAAAGCAAGTCTTTTCTTTTCCATTTACACCAAGTGCTTACCCACAGTGGGTTGTTTGATTGCTGAGGGTTTCAATGCATTATTGTAGGGTCTTTATCTTACAATATAAAGCACCTTGAGGGGATTGCTGTTCTGATTTGGCACTATATAATAATTTGAACTGAATTACTTATTTGGTGTGACCACCTTTATTCTTCAGCACATTCTGAACTCTCTTAGCTTTGTCGTGTCTTTAATAAGGGTGGGTTTTAATGATGGATTCTGGCTTGGATAACATGATATCAATTCATTAAAATCCTGAATCGATTGTTTTATATAAATGTATTTTGCCCAAAATTCCAGAATCTCAGGTGAAACGTCACAAAATTTTGACAACCACCAAACATTTAAAACGGTAAATGAGAGCAGCTACACGGCTTCTGCACAAAGACGTAAACAAAGCTCGGACCCGCGGATCAGAATCAGTGAGATGTGGCTTTCTCACCCGACGGCACGGACACGGTCGGGGCTGAAAGCCGACAGCTCGCTGATTCTGATGTTTTGGCGGGTCCGCGCTTTGTGT